AGAGGGAGAGTGCTAGTAGAGGAAGCGGTGACGCGAAGGAAATCAGGAGAAGGGAAAGAGGAAGCGAGACAAAGATGTTAATACTGAAGGCGGAATGAAATAAAGCATAGATTATGAAAGTTAAAAGGCTTAGCGAGAAGGTAACTTACGCGCCGAGGACGTTTTAGAAGCTCGAGCGTGATGGAAAGTAGCAGATGCAGGGCGGCTTCGCCTCGGGCAGCGCGTGCGCACTGGCTCGGGTGTGGAGTGCGCGTTCTGCCAGCACCTGCTGCGCGCGGTTGCGAAGTCGACGTCTTCTCGCCGCCGAAGACGGCAGGCGGCGGCGTCGGGTGCGTCTGCACCAGGCCTCGTCGACGTGTAAGAAGTCGAGCCCGTCGCTCGCCCGCACGTAGGCTGCCGCTGCCGCCCCCCGACGACGGGACGAGCCGGTTCTGGCGATCTCAACACGCGAGAGGGACGGATGAAGTATGGTGGCTGCCAGCCTGACACAACATACAGCCACACACAATACTCCTCCTTATCCTCCTTGCCCTCTCCTCCTTATCCTCCTTGCCCTCTCCTCCTTATCCTCCTTGCCCAATCCTCCTTATCCTCCTTGCCCTCTCCTCCTTATCCACCTTGCCCTCTCCTCCTTATCCTCCTTGCCCTCTCCTCCTTATCCACCTTGCCCTCTCCTCCTTTTCCGCCTTGCCCTCTCCTCCTTATCCTCCTTGCCCCCTCCTCCTTATCCTCATTGCCCTCTTATCCTTATCCTCATTGCCCTCTTATCCTTATCCTCCTTGCCCTCTCTTCCCGCTTCTTTTCCTTTCTTTCCTCTTCCCTTCCACCTGCTTCCTCTTCTTTATCTTCTCGTATGAAATTCGCTGTACCCCGCCTTCAACATCACAATCTGTCTCGCCCTCTTGCAGAGATGGTGTCGCAGCAGCTGTCTGTGCTATTGAGAGCAGCCCAGGCAGATGGTCTCAGTGACCGTACATTTTGTATGTGATTGCATTTTAAGAAAAACATTAGCGTGGATTTCCTGTTCCTTTCCTGCAGTAACAAAAATTATACAATAGTTCTTTAACAAATGACTTTTACTTCTGAGAGACGTTTGAATAATTTTTGCTCGTTTAAATTAATCAGATCGGTATTATTAAACTATCTAATATGTCTAATATTTAGTAAAGTACATCCGATCAATACAGCCCTCTCCTTCCACATCAACATTAGAGGCAGTACACGATCAGTGAACACATGGGTATGGCAGATGAAGGTTTGTTGTGAAGGGGTTTCTTATTAGGCCTACCATCATCACAAGGATCATTTACAAAAGCACAAGAAATACGTGCACATTCTTAAATTAAAAGAACAGTTTATGAAAAATGCAGGCCGTAGTATTAGACATCTCTAATATAGTAAGAAAAGTTTGAAAGATGAGCTTGATTGAATTTGGCATATTATTCATTCAAATTATCATGGAGGGACAGAAAATG